AGATTAGGCTATAAAAAGACTGTGGCTTCCATGTTGGTTTCTTTCTCTCTCTCTCTCTCTCTCTCTCTCTCTCTCTCTCTCTCTCTCTCTCTCTCTCTCTCTTTCTCACTCATTACTCACTCTGGGGGAATCCAGCTGCCATGACATGAGGACACTCAGGTAGCCTGTGGGAAGGCCCATCTGGTGAGGAACCGAAGAACCCAGATGATAGCCAAGAGGACCTGAGGCCAGCCCAAACCACATGAGTGGGCTTGGAAGGGAACCCTCCAGTCCCAGATGACTGAGGCCCTGGCTGACAGCTTACTGCAACCTCCTGAGAGGTCCTGAGCCAAAACCGCCCAGGGAAGCTGCTCCCACATTCCTGACCCACAGAAACTGGGAGATAATAAATGGGTTCTAGAGTAACTTGTCAGGTAGCAATAGATAACTAATTGATCCCCCTGGAAATAACTATACTTCCCCTAGTTGATGCATAGAACTTAAGAAAGTTGGCATCTTACCTACTGATGCCAGCTTGATGAGGACAAGAGAGAGCCACAACCTTGGTGCCAAGATGAAGAGCCTCAAATGACCTGTCAGTTATCAGTGGATCTGTGGTTGGTGAAGGTACAAGAAGATGCCAAGAGGCCCCAAAGGGCACTAGCCGGGCCCTCTAAGGACAAAAATCCCCAAGATTTTCACATGATCAGTTTTGTTGCCCTATTTCAACTGACAATAACTTGTCATGGGAAGTGAAGTGTTATGTGAAGTTTTTTACATCTAAGGCTTTTTCATTTTCTTGACTTCATGATCCCTGAAGGTATCATGAAGTCAAACCTCATATTGGTTTGTAGACCAGACCCGTTGCAGTCTTTTCCCCAGGGCCCACACAGGTCCACATCATTGCTAAGCTGTGGAGCAAGAGATCCTGGTAGCAATAACAGCATTGTTAGCTGGTGTCTGCTTGAGGCCTCGCTTGGGACTAAGATAGCCTTGTCACCAGTCTCCCTGTACTGGCACCAGCCTTGCCAGTCCATCCTCCATCTGGCTACCAAAGTGGAATCTCTAAAATGCCAATGGTAGCACACCACTCCCTCTGCTTACAAGCCTTCTGCAGCAATCTGCTGTCCTCCGGGCAAGTCTAGCCTCCTTCCCCTAGCGCCCCTGGTCTCTGGTATCTGGTGGTCACTCACCTCTGAGCCCCTTCCACAGACCCCTGCCTCAGCTAACTCTTGGCAGCTCCATAAACAGGCCATGTTCTCCCGCACCTCCACACTTAGGTGCGTGCTTTTCTCTCTGCCTAGAATGCCAGCCCCCGTCTTGCCTGGCGGGCTTACTCCTACTCAGCCTTCCAGGCTCTGCTCACAGGTGCCTCTCCTGAGAAGGGCCCGGAAGGAAACTAACACTCATCCAGGACTTGCCCTTGGCCCACCCTGGTGTTAATGTGGCATTGAATCTGATTTCATCAGCACAGGAACTCTGCAGTTTCCCTTACAAAATTCGTCATGTTGAAGGTAACCTAAGAATATCACTCTGTAGTTGATACTGACAATAAAGAGGGATCAGGAGCGGTGACTTATAGTGAGAACATGCTCAGGATGCGGAATTTCTGGTTTATAATTCTATGAGAAAATGTAAGTTTAGGAGGCATCAGCAGCGCTTTCTTGGGGGCAGTGGAGAATCAGTGAATGTGTTGGAGTAGAGAGGAAACTTTGGCTCAGCTACGCTGAGGGTGCAACCATCAGGAAGGGGAGTGGGATGTGGCATACTGAGCAGAACACCGGCCCCTGGGTTTCTTCTATTCCGAGGGGCTCAAATGGAAAACCTGCTGGCTTCCCGGGCAAACGGACCAGGACTCATACCCAGGCCCTGCAGACTACTGGCTGTGAGGCCCTGGAAACATGACTTATGCATTCTGAGCCTCAGTTCCCTGTGAAATAATAATAATCCCCAGCTCATAAGATAAACCTTAAATGAGAGACTTTAAGTCTCCACCCCATTTACTGAGCAACAAGCCACAGGAACAGGGTTTCTCTGCACTCGGGACATTTAGAGCCGGGTACCTGTGTGTGTGTGTGTGTGGGGGGCATTTAGAGGCGGGTACGTGTGTGTGTGTGTGTGTGTGTGTGTGTGTGTGTGTGTGAGGGGTGCTGTTCTGGGCCCTGAGGGTGTTTAGTATCTCTGGCCTCTATCTGCTAGATGCCAGGTGCACCCCTCTGCCCAGTTATAACTGGCAAAAATAGCTTCAGACATGAGAATGTCCCACATCTCCTCGGAGGCTAAGGAGCCCCTTCTTGGGGACCAGTCTCCTATAAGAATAGTCTCCTTTATTCGGACTGGCCTTGTCACTATCTTCCTGAGCAAACCTTTCAGTTTCTTAGATTTTATATCTTTGCCCCAACTCCTCCAAAAAGTCTTTCCAGATAGCTCAGACCACAGTGGCCTCACCCTTCTCTGAACTCACAGGACTCTTCTAGACCCCTCATCTGGTCGTAAATCATGTGCTGCCTTCTCAGGCAGGACTGAAAGCTGCCACCCTGCTCTGCCCCACACCCCAGCATCTGCCTTCTTTGAAGTGTGTTTTCAGAGCCCCCACTCCCTAGCCCCGCAGCCCTCTGGGTCTCGCTTCTCACCTAGGTTCAGGTCTCCCATGGCCTAAAACCTCATATCTAGGGGCAGACTCATTCATGCTCCAGGATTAGGGATCGAATGCTCCGCCCTAGATGAGATGATGGGAGAACAGGGATAATTACTATTGAAAGCTGTATGTTCATGACAGCGAAATGAAGCATTAATTCTGGAATTTCTAGCCTTTGGGGAAAAGAGCCTCTCTGGTACCCCGCACATGTCTACCTATTAACACCACTCATTTGGCTTTGGGAAGCAGTAAGGAGGCCTCTGACTTACAGGAGACCCATAGCGGCCATCAGAACTGCAAAACCTTTGGGGTCACTGAGCAGAACACATCACCGTGGAGATGAAGGGAGAGGTCCAGAAAGGACAAGCAATTTGCCGCAGGCCACAAAGCGGGGGAGTGTTCAGCCAGGGCACAGAGCTCTGGAATGCAGGGCCCAGGGCTCCAAAGTCCAAGCAGCCTCCTCTCAGGACTGGGGCTGCCTCGGGCAAGGGCCATGCAGGCTGAGGCCTGGGAAGAGCCCAGTGGATGCCTGCCAAGGAAAGCCAAAAAGCAATGGGCCTGACGTACAGAGGGCTAGGGCCAGTTGCCATTGTCGCTGTCACTTTGACAGTCACAGGAGAAGAGCAGAGCCTCCCCTCCCCTCCTCAGATAGGCTACCCCTGCTGGGCTCAGCAGTTTATAAAGCCTCCTTTCTACAGGGCTGGCAATCTAAGCCCAAGGGCAGTAGCAGGCAGTCTTCTGGGGATAGGCTAATGGCAGGAGGGCTCTCCCTGCCAAGATCTGAGCTGATCCCAGCACCCTCCAAGCCCCTTCAGAAAGGAGCCAGAGCTGCCTGCTCAGAGTACGAGCTGAGGTTGGGTCCTCTGGGAAACAGACTGGGAGACTGAGATCAGCTCGGAAGCTTAAAGGGGGATTGCTTTCAGGAACACTTGTGAGAGGTGCGAGTTAAGCAGGATTGAGACAGTCTCGACAGTGACTTAAATCGATCCTGTGGGGAAGCTCTGGGCCAGGAGAGCCCTTCAGAGTTGTCCCAGGAGGCAGTGGGGCTGGCTCTGCGTCCTGCATGGACTGGATACTGGATGCGGGCTGCCCCCAGGACAGGGGTGATAACCTCGGGCAAGGCTGCTTCCTTAGGCTGAGTGCAATTTCCAGGGAGGAGCTCAGCTGTGAGCTGCCAGCCACCGACACTCCTGGGAACTGGGGGGAGTGGTCCTAAGGGAGGTGTAGGCAGGGCACACGGTGTCAGCTACACTAGCCTTTGCTGAGGCAGCTGAAGAGAGGAGGGCAGATCTGGGGCCTAAAAGAGGCCAAGGATGACGGACTTTCTTTTTTAGTTCAATTCAATACACATTGTCTAACACTAACCACATGCCAAACTTTGGGCTGGTCCCTGAGGACACAGAGAGGGACTCAGACACTGTCCCTGCCATCCAGAAACTCAAAGACTAGTGGAGAACAAAGATCAAGCCCGATCTTTGTGGTTACAAACTTGAATTCTAGATTCAGACAGAAGGAGGGTTAAGTCCAAGTCCTGAACCACATGACCTTGAGCTCTGAGATTGTTCATTTCATCATCTGCACAATGAGAATAATGATATCAACCTCACTGGGATCTTGTAAGAATTAAATGAGATAACGCGTCAGGTCAGTGCACAAGGCCCGATGTGTTCAAAATGGAATGTATTTAAAAATGATAACTTACAGGTCACTTGGTCCAACTGCCTGCTCTGACAGACGCAGAAACGGAGGTCACTAGATTCTAAACAGCAGGAGAGCCATGACTTTGCATATCTTTTCCCCGAATTGTATTCCCAGTGCCTCCCACACACAAGGTGCTCAGTAACTACTCTTGGAATAGTTGTAGAGTCCTTGCTGCTCTTTTGTTGAATGAGTATATTAAGCTAGAACCGAGTGCCCAGGCTTTCCTTAACATGGGCTGTGCCTTCTGAATTCCTCTCTCAGCCTCCAGAAATTCCTCACCGAGTTCTGTTTCAGGCTTATTAGCAAATGCAAATTGAATTACGCCATGCCCTTTTGCAACAAGGACAACAAAAACAGTTTCCCCAGAAAAAGAGGGCAAGAAGAGGTGAAAGCTGGGATGAAAGTCGAAGACAATACATTCTAATCAAACTTGATAAATATGTAAATTAAAGCAGCTAAACAGTTGGCTTTGACAAATGACTTCTCCGTAATGGATTTTTCCACAGTGAAAGGGGAGAGTTCAGCCTGCCTGCTAGTCACAATGAGAGCCCTCTCCTGCCTTCCCGGCAATGGGGGCTGATGGGGCAGGCACTGGGGTGCTGGGAGGCAGACAGAGAGCTAACCCTTCTTTTAACAGATGCTATTTATTGAGCATCTGCTAGCGGCTAGGCACAGCCTCCATCAACCCTGTGAGAGGCAAGAGTCCCTGTCCCGTGGCAAAGGTGAGTAAGGGCCACATTTACCAGACTAGAAAGCCTGGTGTCTCTCAGGGGCCAAAGCAACCAGCTGTTGAGGGACATAAACTCAATCCCTCCAGTGGTTTTACTGCCCTCCGGGGGTCTCACCAACTCAAAAGTTAGTGCCTTTTAGATTTTGTTGTTGTTTGTTTGTTTGTTTGTAAGATCCTGCCTTACGGTTTCTTCCTCCCCTCACAGGACTTGTCATAGTGGTGGTGTTCCCAACAGCTCTGTTACTTAATATGTGGCGCCAGAGGGACCCCTCCCCTGTGCCCACTGTCATCTCTCTTTTCCCAAAAATAGCTGTTGGAGTCACCCCAGCTGAAGGCCCAGACAGCATGGAACAGAAAGGAGCTGTCAGACTGCAGATTCTCTGCAAAATACAAGACAATTGTCATTGTAAGTGACAACTGTAAGGGATAGGGGAGGTTACTACTTAGCAATAGGGAACCAGAATAATTGAAATAACAGTAGTGATTCTAGCAGGTTATAATACAACAGTCAGGGGAGCGATGCTTTAAGAGAAACAGGTTTTGAGCAGTTACTGTGTGGCAAGTACTTTTCACACGTTACGATCCAGGTCTTACCAGGCCCGGTGAGAACTGTTTTGTCTTCCTCATATCACAGATTGGAAATCTGAGGTTAAGTGCATGGCCCAGGCCAATACAACTCAACTAGCAAAAGCGACAGCTGGAATTTGAACCCAGTCTTTCTATTTCCTGAGACCAGTCTTTCTTCTGACACCTCCGAGAGACAAAGTTTACTCCCTAGCCACACCAGATAAAAGATGTCTTCCTACATGCACGTGGTCTGCAGGCATAAGTACGCCTTGGCTTCTGGCTCAAATTCCTACAAATCCTTGAGTTTAAGTACAAAGTTATCAGAGTTGTGATGCAAACAGAAATTCAAGTCGAATGGTTTGCAGTCTTGGAAAGACACTATTAATACAATTTCCCCAAACACAGAGCCAATATTTATGAGTGCTCAAAGGGCTTCAGGAAAAGTTTCCTGGTAGGGCTGGGAGTAATGTGATCTAGGCTCTGGGCCCAAGATCCATCTTCCCCGATGCTGGAGGAATTTAGATTTGAACAGTGTTCTTTCTTTCCTATTGAGATCTTCATTGACTTGTAGAAAAATACCACTTTCAATCTCAAATCCCCATTGGCATCTTTATATAAGCACTGAAAATGCTACTGGGCTTTGGAGATTTCATTTAATGAAGGAAAAGTATTTCTATTAAAGAGTGTAATCTCTCTCTCTCTCTCTCTCTCTCTCTCTCTCTCTCAAAACAACATCTTCAGAGGAGTTGGGAAAGCTGGCTTGTTCTGGGGTTGAAGAAAACAAACCAACGCACGCCTCACCAGACTATGGAATGGAAGGTGAGGAAGGGTCAGTCATGAGAGGAAATAAGAGTGATTATTATAAACTCCCATGTGCCCATGACTTTACAGTTCATGAGGCACTTTGGCGCTCAGCAGGGAGATGGTTCTGTTGCCACTGCCCATGTTCAACCCCCCAATCATGTGTTGTCTGAGTTACTACAGCAGCCTTGCCTCTCCTGTGCTCTGTCATCCTTCTCGGGTACCGTGATCCCTCTCCTGTTTCCGGTCCAACAGTGGCGTCCCCGTGCACCTGAAGCAATTCCAGACTGCTTACCCTGGCCTGCGTGTCCCCTGCTCACCCCCCACCCTCACCTCCGACCACTCTCTCACCTACTCATCCTGCCTCCTGGCACACGGTTCCTTCTAGTTTCTCCACCCTCCGCCTGGAGGACCCCCTTGGGTCCCGTGGGGCTGGCTCCTTACCCCTCAGGCCTCTTCCCATGAGAACGGTAGCTCCACGGCAACTGGAGCAGTGTCTTATTAATTGCTGTGGGCCCAGGTCTAACATGGCACCTGGCAGATACACATGCTGACTGTATATGTATCCACTCGCAGGTACTGAGTGATGAGTGCTGGGGAGGGCCAAAGGAATAAGATTAAGGAAGTGGTTACGGTCGGCAAGTTATCCAAGGTCATATGGCCAGCAAGCTGTGAGAACAGAGTGGATCCCGGTCTGATGCATATTAAAGCCTGTGATCCTTCTGCCTCCCCACGAAGGTTCCATTCCCTCACAGAGAAAACATGAGGGGCCAAAGCAACCAGCAGCTAAGGAACATAAATTGAATCCCTTCGGTGAATTGTATTGCCCCCTGGGGGGGTCGCACCCTTAGCTATACCTAAGGGTGTGAGTAGGCCCTTAGGTGTCACTGCCTCATGTCCAGTTCTGACTCTGCCACTGACTGGCTGTATGGTCTTGGGAAGATCACTGAGTCTCTGCATACATCAGCCTCCTCATCCATAAAATGAGAATAATAATAATAGCCACGCTATTGGGTAGTTGTGAGGACTAAATGAGCTAAAATAAAGCACTAATAACAGGACTTGTCACATGATAAACCCTCAGTTAACGTTTGCTATTCTTTAGTCATTCAACAAATGTTCCTTGAGCTCCTAGCCATCGCCCTCTCTTGGGAAGCCTTCCCCACTCCCAAGCAGAGCCAGGCCCCTGCTGCTCTCTTCCTGTCCAGCCCCTGCTGCTATTACAGCAAATGCCCAGTGGTATAACAGTAATTTGCGTTCTTTCAGTCTCTGCCTGTCCCTTCTGGTGACTCTGAGAGTGTTGGGGGCAGAAGCCCTGTCTTGTTCATCTCCCTTTGGCATTTTTTCCTTTGTTTGAGACAGAGAAGGGCGTTTTGACGTGGTTGTTTTGATGCGAGAGTTTTGAAATGGCTGCATCTAAAAGTAAAATTGCTTTTGAAAATTACCGGGTATCGTGTGAAACAGAACGCACCCCCTCCCCCATACCCGTGCATGCCTGATCTTCACTGTCTTTCACCCCCACCAATCCCTTACTTCCCCAGCCGCCCTCATCACCAACCTTGACCTGGAGCCCACCCCTGAGCCCAATGTCTCCAGTCCATCACCTCCCTGAGCCCTTTTGCCAGAAGTGGAGGGCAGGGCTGGAGGAAGTTCTGGGATGAGGGGAGGTAGCCTAAAATGTCTCCTTGGCACATTATTTGCTATTGTTTTCTAAAAAGCTGAAGGTGTAATGGTTTGTTTTCTCAGCTGTGTCAAAATGTCCCCATATCAAAACAGTTGTGTCAGAGCAGCTGAATCGATGTGGCCGAAACAAAAGGTCTGTGTCAAAAAAATATGAACTTTGCAAGGAAGCCACCTGGCAGGTAGCAGTCCTTGAGAATGGATTTCAAAACATACACCGCTGTAAGTGGATTACCAAGCAACCAGCCACAGCTAACGGCAGCTCTCCCTGAAGTAATTCCCATTTTTTTTCCCAGTGAGGATGCCTCCACCACCATAATGATCAGAGACGTTAAGAATGCTGCCTGGTGTCACAGAGGAGGTCACAGAACAGAGACCATTGGAGCTGAGTATGGTCTAATTAACCTCTTCCATTTTACAGCCAAGGCGCCAAGAGAGAAAGTGACTTGACCAATGTCAAGCCACAGTGAATTGTGTTTTCGCCTGTTAGATCAGAAATGTGGCCGGCTGTCGGGTGACTTCTCCACCCTGTGCACTAACTTTTGGACCACAGCATCATCACTGGGCTCATGGCAGGCAGTCAGCAGAGTGGAACAGAGCCTACGCAGGCTGCTAACAGAGCCCTTGGCACGCTACTTGAAAATTGGATTTGCCACATTCTCGGTAAAAGAAGTTTGAGTGTCCCACTGGGCAGGCTGTCAATATCCCATTAGCCAGGCAGCCCATTGGAGCAGCAAGGCCTCTTGGTGGGCCCCGGTCTGCATGAGCGAAGGTGAGCTCTGCAGCATGGGGCACAAGCAAAGAGCTGACTCTTTGCATCTGTTTCCATAATTGATATTTCTGCATCCAGTTAAAGAAAGAAAGAAATGCCTGTTCACCTGAGTTAGAAAATTATATATCCCTACTGTTTTCATGGCTTCGTGACTCGGATTGAATGGAGTCTTTCTTGAATAAATGATAAAAACTTAATTTACAAAAACATATTTCCAGAGGGTGTTTTTATAGAGCGGTGTTGTATGCTCCTGAAATAAGGCTTCTAGGATAAACCTGGGCTCTTTATACAAGTTCTGCCTTGGACAATACCTAGGGCACATGGGATTGGAGTCAGGCAGATCTGGGCTTGAAGCTGTGTGACTGAGGTTAAGTTGCTGAGCCACGGGTTTATCAGAGGCTAAGTGAGGAAAGGTTTGTAAGTCATGGGTTCTCCACAAAGGTAGCCTCTGGGATTATTGATTTCAGAAGCTTTGAGTCCCACCTTCTGGCAGTTGGTTCTCCTCTAGGAAGTCCCTAGGGCCTGAAGATTCTGTCAGATGCACACATGTGGGCTGAGAACTGGAGAGGTGATTTAGCACGATGGTTATAATAAGCAGGGACTTGGGCACCAGAGAAGTGAGTCCACCACAATTTGGGTGTGTGACCTTGAGCAAATCACTTGACCTCCCTGTGCCTCAGTCTTCTCATCTATAAAATGGGGATCATAGTGAACTATCTCATAGACATGCTCTGGAGAGTAAATTAGGTGGTATTTGTAAAGCATTTAGAACAGTGTCTGGCACCTAGCACATCTTATATAATTATTTGTTTGTTCTATAAAATAAGTACTGATTAATAATACCCATTCAGATACTCTCTGTCTGCAGAGGGTGATACTCATCTTGGGGCCCTCCCCTGTGACAGGCCCATTCCCCCTCCGAAGCCATCTCCTATGGATAGCGATCTGATGCTTTTCTCCAGATATGTGAGGGTAATACACTGGCAAGAAACACATTTTATTCTCTGGTTCTCAGACTCGGCTTTATAATAGAGCTACCTGAGGAGCTTTATAGAAGTCCCGGTGTCCAAATCCACCCCCTCTCAGCTCTAACCAAGGTTCTGCGGAGGGGCTCGAGCAAATTTTTCTTCTAATGTGCAGTCACAACTGAGAACTACTGATCCAGCATGAGCTTGGGCCAGGCCCTCTGCTCTCTGGGTCTTGGTCTTCTTACTACACCATCAGTAGTAAGAAGGGGCAGGGCTGGGTGGTCGCTCAGCCCTCTCTAGGTCTAAAATACCACGACCCAGGAGGCTTGGAGGAGCCAGGAGCTGGCTTGGGATGGCTCTGATTAGGCGACATTGGTCATGACAGCAAGGAGAGGCCGTGGGGTTGAGGGTGGGGGTGGACAAGAAAACACACACCCATCAAGCAGATAATGTCCTGCAGTCACAGTCCCTTCCTGGGAACAGGACAAGAGGTACTAAGATGATGGAGGTGTGACATCTCCAGGAACTCACCACGCTTAGAGCAAACAGATTGGATTTATAATGGAAATGAAAGCCACACACATGAGGAAAAAAAAGAAAAGTCATTTTTCAAAGGATGAAGGAGGAGGATGAATATATTTGTAATCACGGACATAGAGGGGCCCGAATACTCGTGTGCCAGGGTCTCGAACCAGGTTCCTGGGAGGGGAGGAGATGAAAAAGGGGGATCACTGTGGTTGAGCCTCTGATCTGTGTTGGCACCAGGCGGTGGGGTGCACATCTAATCTCATTCTACCCTGGCAGCCCCCACAGAGGGCAGGTGCTCTGACCACCATCTTACAGACCCTCCAGGCGGTGTGCTCCTGCAGCTGTGCAGGATCGAACCAGGCGGCTCTCACTCCAAGTCGCCCTGTTCTTTCCCTTACGGCTTGGTGCCTCACTTATCCAGAGCTTCCTGTCCTCATAACCTCACACACCCAGATCGCAGCAAAGAGCCAGAAGGAAACAGAAAAAAACTGAGAACAACCCAAATGCAGACACATAGTCCTCATAATAAAGGGCCTGTCAAGTGTCAGGAAACCTTTTGGGGACACTGGGGTGACAGGGAGGTACCTCCCGATTTCTAGGGAGAAGGGCGGAAGCTTACCTTTTGAGAGCTAGTCTGTAAGCACAGATGATATAGGATGGAAACTGGCAAAGCCACTGTGAAGAGACTGGGGCCCTCCCAGAATATGGTTCTTGACTGCCTGACACATGGACACATCAAAAGGAAGCAGGTGTCAGTTGGCAGTGGACCCGTGTGCCTCAGGAGCTGACAGGGAAGCGAGAGGCCTGGCCTGTCTCTGTCAGGGAGAGGGCAGCCTGACAGCGCCGAGATGTGGGGCCTGCTCAGTACAGCCAGTGCCACAGCAGGGGTGGCCATATGGTGAGGGTGGCCGCACTGCGTGGCTATAGCTGGGAGACCTGCCCTTACCCAGCCCTTGGACCCCTCCCTCCTGCCCCACCTTTGCCTTCAGCCAGCTGACTTCTGGCTGTCATTCAGCTCCCCCTAGCTCTCCCTTGTCCCCCTACACAGCTGGTGAGGAAGGCCACTGCTCACCCAGAACCAAACTGGCCCCACAGCCCCCAACTCTTCACTCAAGGGTCTGGAAGGAGAATGCCACAGTCAGAAAAGTCCCATTCCATTCCACTCACACACATCTTGTACCTACCACGTGTGAGTGCTGAGCACCTGACATCATGCAGTCACAGTGCTGCTCTCCATCTTATAACCAGGTTACAGTAAAGCAAATAATAATGTAAGCCAATGCGCTGTGGAGGTCTGGGGGCTGAGAAGCGTGCACTCCGGCAATCTGGAGAATTAAATAAAGATGGGTGCTGGTGCTGGACCCATGAGGTGTTCTAGACAGGCAGGCGCCAGGCTGCACAACCAGTGTCCCGGGGTAAGAAATTCCCCCAAACAAGCTCCCTCACTTTGGTCAAGTTCAGAGCCCTGGTCACAGCCCAGCTGTGGACTGAGCTGACCCAGGGCTGGGCTGAGATTTCTTCTCTCTCCTCCCACCCTGCCCCCTTTTCTGGTTCAGAGAGTAAAGCGTGGTCCTTCATGGCAGGGTTTGCACCCTCTCGTAGCTGGCACACAGCAGGTGCTCCCTAAGTTCACGCTGAAGTCCACGGACAAGCCAGCCCCGCATGGCGTGCTCACTCTAAAGCTCTGCCTTCAAGTAGCACCCACGTGATTAACTTGACTTCCAGGGAAGAACTGAGGCTTGCTTTTTTAATGGTGCTAATGTGGCGATAACAAGGTGGTAAATGTCTGTTTGCCTCCGTGTCTTCCAGCAAAGCCTCCTTCCCCAATCCTGAGTTTCCCACGGTGTCCTTTCAAAGCCCTTCTCTTTAATGCCAAGTAGAAGAGTTCCAGACAGCTATTTGCATTTTCAATTCTAGAAATCATTAATATTTTAAAACTGCCAGCACCGTGGTTTATTAACATACATTTCCTACTCGCTAGTGTTAAGTGGAAGATTTGTGTCGGAGAAATATTCTAACATGGGGTGATTTCCCAACTTTTGTTTAAATTCTGCTCTCAGGTCTCTGCTCTCAGGAACTCAGGGGGAGAAGGACATCTAAGCAGGAGTGAGATTTGAGTGACCCCTGTGTGACTGACAAAAGATAGAGGACAGGAGCCCAGAGGAGACCCTGGACGCAGCCAGGATGGTCGAATCAGACTTCTTAGAGGTGGGCTCCTGATTCCAGGGAGATCTTTTTTGTGGATAGTGGAAAGGACGTGAGTGAATAGAAGACCTGTATTTAGATACTGGCCCTTTCGGTTACTTTTAGTTATCTTGGCAGTAGGTTGGGGTTAGGATTAAGGGTCTTTGAGTCAGGCAGGCCTAGGTTCAAATCCTGGCTCTAACAAAACTAGCTGTGTGACAATAATCGAAACAAATAGGTTTTCGAGCCCTTCCTGGATGTCAGGCAGAGGGCAGCTTTTGAGGGCCTGCTCTGCTCCACAGTAGAGGTGACCTCCCTGGGTGGCTGCAGCTATGGGACCTGACCTTACTCATCTCCTCCACCATCTCTGCCCTCACCATGTGGGCGATTTTCTTTAATTCTCACAACCACCCTAGGGGGTAATTCCTGTTACCCCATTTCACAGAGCAGGAGACTAAGAATCAGAGAGGTTAAATCACTCCCTCCAGGTCACATGTTGGCCAGTGGATGGATCAGGGTTCGATCCCCGAGTACCAGGGTGATGAAGCACTGAGTTCCTCTGCTACTTACTCTGGAGGCGGAGTGAGCATTAAAGTGGGCGGCGGGCAGAGCGCTGTCATGGTTTGAGCACTCAGGGAGGGGGCTGCTGTGGTTGCTCTTCTGTCTCCCCAAACCCAGCTCAGTGATCTCTCCTTCACTAAGCCCCCCTCCACCTGCCCCTGTCTCTCCGGCCGGAGGGCCCCGTGTGTGTGTCCCCGGCTCACAGTCCCCTGCACACAGCTACCCTCCTGTGTGCCACACCTCCCTGTTCCTTCGTCACTCCAGCTTTCTGTTCAACCTAGCAACACACACAGTCCTTGCCACATCATCAGGCTGCACTCAGGGTTTGCTAAACGAATTGAAAGCAAGTATAAACCACACCGATTCCCAGAAGAAAATGTTTGCCAAGGATCTTTAGCCTGGACACATCAACATAACAATGACACAGCTAAAATTTGCTCTCAGATTCAAACTGAGAAGTTGAACTTTGACCCTGTCAAAAAATGAGAACAAATTAAATTGAAACACAAAGTCATTTCCCTTGATCCAGGGCTCTGGGATTCTAATTAACATGCAGCACTATTCCGAGTGCTGCAAAGGGATCGGCAGGATGGTGTCCGCTACCTCGTGAGCTGAGCCCACCTAGGACAGAGCTTTTTGTTCGTGCATTTGTCTGCCTTTGCTGGGATGTATTGTGTTTCTTGTGGTATAGGTCCATAGATGAGAGAAATCCCAGGCAATCAGAAAAAAAGTAATTGCTAGGAGCTGACCTTGTACAGAAGAACACACAACAAAGCAGCCCTCAACGCAATCACTCACCCACCCTGTCTAGGAAGGTAGCAGCTCAGCCCCAGGAAGTTAGAAACACCAGACGGAATTCAGGGCAGTGGCTGAAAGGTGAGTCTACCTTGTGGGAAGGC